TCCAGCTTTGGAATGGATTAATGAAGATCAGTATTGGAAATCAGGAGGGAAGACACGAGACCACAGTGGAACTCCATCTCTTCCAAATAAGCCACCTGAATTGAAAGTCAAGAGAGAAATGTCCTATTCCAGGCTCATCCACTAACTAGTCTTTGGGGAAACCAACCACAGTCTCCTAGGGTTAGTTTCTTCATCTGTATAGTGTAGAAGTTGGCATCAGAGGCTATTTCTAGTCCTGAATTTATGTGATTCCAAAACTCAGGAGTGGGTTTTCATTAGGCAAATATTGTCCACAACTCTGTTTCCTAAGAGGAATGTGTTGTGATGCTGAGCAAGACCTTACCCAAATGCAGGGGTTTCTACAAAGGGAGATGGCAGGGAGGCCTCTCTGCTTCACTCTTTGACATTTATGACACTTGTGTCCTAAGCATATCAAGGATCTCTCAGGAAGAAAACAAATTGCAGAAACTAAGAAGAAAACAACTCACCCTCTCATCTTTGTTCCTGGGACTCACTGTTATCCTTCTGTGATGGAGGATTAGGAAGTAAATGACATAATTTGTTTTCGAAATACAAAGAGTGGACATTTTAGTCCTTTAAAACATCTTGTAATGTTGACCCTTTGCGTAAATCTTACCGGAAATGAGGGATGGCTGGCTTGCAGTGTGGGATGTTTCTAATGTGCCAGTCATTTGTACAGAGCCTGTGATTGCAAAACCACAACAATTTCGCAATAGTGAAAACCTCTAATTAACCATAATAAATGACAGGGTAGATTTTTTTTGAACATGTGGTTAATAATGCTTGTTGCTTTAAGGTCATACGTGGAGGGATGCTCCATTGGGGTGACATAAGTGGGCTGCAAGGGGTTTTGCAAAATGCTTTTTCACCCCTGCGTGTAAAGTCTGACCCAGAACATTGTACCAATATCGGACCAGGCTCTCATCTGATGTCATTTGCCTGCGGGAATTGTATTGGCTGTGAAACTAGCTCCTCTTCGTAGCTGTTGGG